CACCACAAAGATTGATCCAGCTCAAAATGTCCACAGTGCTGCAGTTGAGAACCCTGCTGCACAGTGACAGTCTCAGCCCTACAAGGCTCTGCTCTGCAGAAACCTAGAGCAGTTAACGAGCTCACCCAAAGCCATGTAAACAGAAGATGCCCAGTTGCTTTTTAAAGCTACATTTTCCTGACTCCAAGCCTGGCTGCCTGTAGCAAAAGTCTTATTCTCATGAGGCCAGCAATGAGTGCAGTGGTCATTCATCCACATTCACCCCGTTGAAGTGAGGACTGTCTACACTCTTACCCTGACAGCTGCTGAAGGCAAGGAAACCTCATCTATTGCTCCTGGCTGGGCCTACTCAGTTTATTCCCATGGGTTCTTCCAAGAATGCTGCTGTTAGCAGGCACCTAAAGATCCCCTTTGCAGAGCTGATAAGTATACGAAGGGACAGAGTTGGTGAAGAATAAGGTGTCTGGGAGAGGCCACTGAAAGGCCTGATCCCTGAAGATCAGAGGAAGATTCCCCTCCAGTTGGTCTTTCCACGAGTTCCTCTCTCTAATCGGGCCCAGAGGCAGAACGCGTGTCCTCCCGAATGTCTGCTCATGTCTCTGCCTTACCTGATCACAGAGGGTTCCAATCAAGCCTTCCAAATCTTGCTTCTCATGGAGGACCATCTGCTTCTCTTCATATTCTTGCTCCAGCTGCATTTCCAGCTGACGGAGCTATGGCACAAAGGGCAGATGCATGCATAGGGTGAGTGAGCTCCATCTGAACAGATCCTACAAGGCTGGGACCCTCTGGAGAAGGGGTGATGTGGCGCTTGTGGCTTTGTTCCACAAAGGCTGACCTAGCAATTGGAAGGGGGTGTCTCTGTTGGAGAACTCATGAGCCTAAAAACTTGAGAGCTGGACAATTATGGGGAGCCCCTTGCCATTGACTGTGAAGCCTTCTCTCCCAGCTCCCCACCAGAACAGAAGTCTCTCTCCCACAGACCACCAGCTAAATATTTACAATTCTTGGCATGCTGACTTTTTAAGGCTCTTCATGACATTATACCCAACATATTGAAATGCATCTACGCCCCTTATAAATATGAATATACATAACGCAGTTTTTTTAAAAAAGCTACATTTAAGATTATTTGGTGTTATGTACTGCATGTGTCCCCCAAATTCATGTTAAAACCCTAACCTCCAATGCATTTGGAGGTTGGACCTTTGGGAGGTAATTAGGTTTAGATGAGGTCAGGAGGGTGGAGCCTCTATGATGGAATTAGTGCCCCCAGAAGAAGAGCCACCAGACAGCTTGCTTTCTCTCTTTCTCTGTCACATGAAGGTACAATGAGAAGGTGGCTGTCTACAATCCAGAAAGACAGCCCTCACCAGACATCAAATCTGCTGGCACTTGATTTTGGACTTCCCAGGCTCCAGAACTGTGAGAAATAAATGTTTGTTGTTTAAGCCCCCCAGTCTATGGTATTCTGCTATAGCAGCCCGAACTAAGACATTTGACTATGAACAACTCATTTTATTTACAATTGACTCTGATTTCTCAGCAATTACCCAGCAAAGGCAGGCATTCTCGAGTAGAATGAATACCCCACTGTAGCTGTGCTTTGCATATCCATTCAGCCTCTCTCAAGCATATTACTTTATCCCCTTGATCCACCATCTCCATCTCATGCCATCAGTGACCCTATTTCACAGATGGGCTAAGTCCCAGAGAGAATCCGAAGTGCATATCCTCAAATCAGTTGTTGCTGAGAGGTGTTAGTGTCCTGTCTTCTGGCCCCAGGTCTCTCTGCCACCTAAGAAAGTCACAGCATTCCCACCCAGGTCACTAACAATTGATTTCCTGCCATGGTAACAGATAGACTTAACAGAGCAGTCACTAGAATATGGAGTTAATGTTAGTGTCTCTCACAGGGAGAAAAACACCTTTCCCTGACCTCACTTTCTCCCTTTATAAATCTGTCCACAGGAAAGCCTCAGAAGGGTCTGGGTCACATTTCCAACTTATCGTAACCCTGGCTCAGAGCATGAACCATACTTTGAGGCACTCTTGGAATAGACCAGAAGTTTGCACAACCTTCACCTGAAGGAACATGGGCAAGAACTGGGGGCTTCCATCTCCTAGCCCATGGAAGGGGAAAAAAATACTAACTAATGGTCACTTCTGTAGAAAGCAAGTCTATTTTAACACTTTCTTTTAAGAGTAAGGAGTGAGAAATACAAGGCAGTCTGTATTTAGAATGAAGACTGAAAAAGCAAGAACTCATTTCAAAAAATACACAAAATAAATAAAAACTATATATCAAGCAAGTTAAAATTTTCTAGAGAAATATTCTGTGTAATATTTCTACATGGTGTTCACAGGTATGATGGGTAAGGGAAGAGGGAGAAATTAGGCATGGGGGCTTGCTAAATGAGGCTTAACTCAAAGCTTTCTAGCAATTCCACATTACAGATTCATCTTACATTCACATCAACCAATAAATGTATCAGGATGTTTATCTCAGCATTGGCTATAAGAGCAGAAAACTGGAAACAACCTAAATGCCCAATGATGGGATGTGTTGAATAGATTAGAGTGCCTGCTTAAGATGGCATACTCTTAAGCCATTAAACATATGTTAGATCTGGATTTACAGACATGAAAAGAGGCCATGAAAAATTGCTGAGTGAAAATAGAAGACTTCAAAACAGAACGACCTCAGTTAGTGAAAATGATCTCTCTACAAATGTGTATGTGTGTATACATCATGAGAGAGATTCAAGAGTACTGAAAAACAGTAATCATGATGGTTTCTAGGTAGTAAGATTTCAAAGGTTTACTGCTTTCTTGCACACTGAAATATCTGCAAAAAGCCTGGACAAAACGTAAAAAATAATTTGAGTTACAAGATAAATAGCCAGAAGGGACCCGTCCCATTACGGAAACTTAGAAGTCCTTACTCAAGACATCGGTAACATGGCCTCATGGGCTCTTGGTAGAAATCTAGGGGTGATTATGCTGGACAGTTCCAGAGGCTCCTGGAATTTCTAGGTTCATATTTAAGATAGGCACTTCTGCTTCTGTACCTTTCAAGGCACCTGAGGAGCTAAGGTCTCAGGTGGCTGCAGAAAGAGCCTGTCCCCAGACGGGGCCTGCCAAGACCCAAGGTCACGGCTGTGCTCACTGCTCACATACCCGTCCTTTCAAGGCACCTGAGGAGCTAAGGTCTCAGGTGGCTGCAGAAAGAGCCTGTCCCCAGACAGGGCCTGCCAAGACCCAAGGTCACAGCTGTGCTCACTGCTCACATACCCGTTTCTGGCAGGACTGACGGACATCTTCCAGCTCCTCTTCCTGGTCCTCCCGATCCTTCTGGTGCATCTGCTTCATCCGCTCAATCTCCAGTTCAAACCGCTGGCGGAGCTGGGGGACAGCAAGGACAGCACATGAGGGTGACCCACTCCAACTCTCCTGGCCCTCTGTGTCATTCTCAGCATTCTAGTTGCATTTTTCACTTTTGGAATGCATGGATGAGAGTCAACTTGTCTCCCTAGGCACCCTGGAAGGTCAGAAATGGTAGATAAACAGCCCAAGTGCTGTCTCTGTCCCTTCTTGTGGTTATAACAAATACTGCTAATCAATCACACTCTTCCATTGAATTTAGATGTAGCCTCAGAATCCTTCTCAACACTCTTAAAATGAAACAAATTTTTCATCCTTGGAGCAGGCATCAGTGATGGTTTTTTGGATGGGTGGATGGGTGGATAAATGGTAAGACAAAAATTTATCAAACATCAACCAATAAATGTATCAGGATGTTTATCTCAGCATTGGCTATAAGAGCAGAAAACTGGAAACAACCTAAATGCCCAATGATGGGATGTGTTGAATAGATTAGAGTGCCTGCTTAAGATGGCATACTCTTAAGCCATTAAACATATGTTAGATCTGGATTTACAGACATGAAAAGAGGCCATGAAAAATTGCTGAGTGAAAATAGAAGACTTCAAAACAGAACGACCTCAGTTAGTGAAAATGATCTCTCTACAAATGTGTATGTGTGTATACATCATGAGAGAGATTCAAGAGTACTGAAAAACAGTAATCATGATGGTTTCTAGGTAGTAAGATTTCAAAGGTTTACTGCTTTCTTGCACACTGAAATATCTGCAAAAAGCCTGGACAAAACGTAAAAAATAATTTGAGTTACAAGATAAATAGCCAGAAGGGACCCGTCCCATTACGGAAACTTAGAAGTCCTTACTCAAGACATCGGTAACATGGCCTCATGGGCTCTTGGTAGAAATCTAGGGGTGATTATGCTGGACAGTTCCAGAGGCTCCTGGAATTTCTAGGTTCATATTTAAGATAGGCACTTCTGCTTCTGTACCTTTCAAGGCACCTGAGGAGCTAAGGTCTCAGGTGGCTGCAGAAAGAGCCTGTCCCCAGACGGGGCCTGCCAAGACCCAAGGTCACGGCTGTGCTCACTGCTCACATACCCGTTTCTGGCAGGACTGACGGACATCTTCCAGCTCCTCTTCCTGGTCCTCCCGATCCTTCTGGTGCATCTGCTTCATCCGCTCAATCTCCAGTTCAAACCGCTGGCGGAGCTGGGGGACAGCAAGGACAGCACATGAGGGTGACCCACTCCAACTCTCCTGGCCCTCTGTGTCATTCTCAGCATTCTAGTTGCATTTTTCACTTTTGGAATGCATGGATGAGAGTCAACTTGTCTCCCTAGGCACCCTGGAAGGTCAGAAATGGTAGATAAACAGCCCAAGTGCTGTCTCTGTCCCTTCTTGTGGTTATAACAAATACTGCTAATCAATCACACTCTTCCATTGAATTTAGATGTAGCCTCAGAATCCTTCTCAACACTCTTAAAATGAAACAAATTTTTCATCCTTGGAGCAGGCATCAGTGATGGTTTTTTGGATGGGTGGATGGGTGGATAAATGGTAAGACAAAAATTTATCAATATAAGCCTGGAAAGGAAGATAACTTTCCCAAGATGCTACCTTGGACAAATTCACTTTGACTCTGGATCTGTTTCCTTTCTATGTGGAAAACAACCACCTCCGAGTGTTACTATGTGAATTAAATGAGATGATACATGCAAAGCATCTAACACAGTTCGTGACACATAAATGCTACTTTCTCTTTCCCCCTTATTTTAAAAACAGAGAGAAAGGACTCTCTCTTTTCTTTCTGGCATCCTGACATAACAAAAGAGCTGTGTTCCCATGAAGGATCTGGGTCTTTTAAACACAAGCCTCTGAAATGTGTGCACAGCAGGCAAAGAGCTGTGCGTGATATTTGAACTGTGTGATGTTGTATAGAAGGTTCTAGAACTGGAAGCAGAAGTCATGGGTTCCAGTTCTTGTTCAAGACTTCACTTTCATGATCTGCCTAATTGAGAGACTGGCCCAAGTCCTTGCTTCTCAAATTTTGTAGCACATCAGAATTACCTATTGCATTTTTAAAACATGTATATTCCAGGGCTTTGCCCTAGACCTATTGAATTAGAATCTCCAGGGTAGGGTCTAAGAATCCATACTTTTATTTATTTTATTTTATTATTTTTTAGAATCCATACTTTAAACTTTCACTTATCTATACTCTTCAATGCTGTTAGCCCATGAGTCCATGAGTATTTGGAACTCCTTCCTGACTGTTTACTGTGCTACCCCACCATCTCTCACCAAACCTGCAGAAGTTCACAACTACTGTCTCTAACATGGAAATTAAGCTGAGAAAAAACAATTTTGGTCTCTTAAAATGTTGATAAAATCCCTTGCTATATAGGACTGTGCTAAAGAGTAAAAAGAATCGTGTACATCCAAGCCTCTGTTGTAGCTCATGGCAGAAAGTAGGTTCACTTTAAATGTCAACTTCTTTCCTTTCCTCCTTTAAAATGACAGAGGTTATGGGGAGNGTTCACTTTAAATGTCAACTTCTTTCCTTTCCTCCTTTAAAATGACAGAGGTTATGGGGAGATAATCCGAGACAAACTGCCTAAGCAAGTAAATACAGTATTTCTTTTTCATTTTTTCCTAGTCTCTTGGACACTCTTGACATGTGCAATACCATTTATGTCAAACTTATATGAGTTAACATAAAATTCCCTGGAAAAAGTGCTATATTAGAATCAATAAATATCCACTGGATGACTACAAGGGTGTCATGCAGCTGAGCTTATGGGGTGAAGCTACAGATGGATTAAAGTGTTGAGTCAGCCTCACCTGCTGGGTGAGTTGAGAGTGGAAAATCAGGAAGGTGCATTAACTATCAGGTCCATGGGTCAGGGTAGCATATTTCTGCTTCCAAGCACCACATGGTCCCCTAATGATATCTTAAAGAGTTAATTCAATTTTTGAAAGAGCTTGCTTTATTCTTGGCTCTATGAGGATCCTGCTCTTTTATAGAACCATTAAAAACCTAAACAGAGGGCTGGCCCGGTGGTGCACTGGAGAGTGCACCGCCTGAGAGCGCAGCAGCGCTCCCACCAAGGGTTCGGATCCCATGTGGAGACTGGTTCCCGCTCACTGGTTGAGCGCGGTGCGGGC